ATCAAAAAAGGTGATTCTCACAGTGCAACCCGATCCATTCAGGTATGAGTGAGCACGCTGCAGCAGGTAAATAATGGCATCGTCCACCCCCAGGTGAGGCTGGTAGGCAAATTGCAGAGGGTCAAGGAATGATCTCACCTGCGGTCTGAGATGGGCCAAGACCAGTCTCTCAAGCACCTTCATCACATGAGATGTGAGTGCTACAGGGCGATAGTCATTGAGCCCAGAAGGAGTTGTCTTTTTAGGGACCGGAACAACGCATGATGTCTTCCACAGCACCGGGATGGTCTCCAAGTGCAGGCTCAGGTTGAATATATACTGGAGAACAGGAGCCAGCTGGCGTGCACAGGTCCTCAGGACCCTGGGGCTGATACCATCAGGGCCAGCAGCCTTGCCTTGGTGGAGTTTTTCCATCTGACTCTGGACCTGTCCTGTGCTCACAGTGAAGCGGGGGGGGGGGGCGAGATGGAAGGGGGGATAGAGGGGGGGGGGGTCTGAGGCAAGATGAGCAGAGGGGGGGGGGGGGGGTCAGCGGCAATGTGAGCAGAGGGGGGGTGCAGAAGCCAGGCTGGGTGGTGGAGGAGAGGTGTGAAGTGTAGGTGGTGAGCAGAGGGGGGATGTTGACGCCAGGCTGAGAGGAGGAGGTGAGGTGAGAAGAGGAAGTGGAGGAGACAGCAGCGGGCGGAGAGCTAAACCTATTGAAGAAGGTGTTCAGCTCGTTGGCCCTCTCCAGGGTGCCCACAGTCAGTCTGTCTCTCCCTTTGAAGCCAGTGATAGCCTTCATCCCAGCCCAGACATCCCTGCTATTGTTCAGCTGGAGCTTAGTCTCCAGCTTCTTCCTGTACGAATCTCTGCCCCTCCTCAAATTGTCTCTCAGTTGATGCTGGACACTCTTCAGCATTGATTTGTCCCCAGACTTATAAGCTTCCTTTTTCTTATTTAAAAGAGTTTTCAGGTCACTAGTAATCCAGGGTTTATTATTGGGGAAACAGTTGACAGTTTTAGCCGGTAATATTGTTTGTTCACAGAAGTTGATGTATTCTGTGATGCAGTCAGTCATATTATTGATGTCCTCTCCATGTGGCACACAAAGCACGTCCCAGTCAGTGGTCTCGAAGCAGTCCTGTAGAGCCTCATTAGCCCCTGGAGTCCATTTCCTCACAGTCCTGGTGGATACAGGCTGCCTCTGCACCAGTGGGACATATTTAGGAGCCAAAAAGACGAGGTTGTGGTCAGATCTGCCCAGGGGGGGGAGGGCAGTGGCACAATATGCATTCTTGGTATTTGCATATAGAAGATCCAGAGTATTATTTCCCCTGGTGGGGCATTTCACATACTGAGTGAATGTAGGCAGAGATTTGTCCAGTTTTGCACGGTTAAAATCCCCAGTTATTGTTATGAATGCATTTGGGTGAAGAGTTTGGAGTTTGGCCACAGAAGAGTGAATGACGTCACCAGCCACCTCCGCGTCCGCGTTCGGTGGAATATAGACAGCAACTACGATGACAGAATAAAGTTCTCTAGGTAGATAAAATGGACGTAATCCCACAGCTAGCAGTTCAATGTCCGGGCTACAGAAACGCTCCTTCACAGTAACATGTCCAGGATTACACCATCGTTCGTTCACATACAGTGCAATCCCTCCTCCTTTCTTTTTACCGCTCAGAATAACGTCCCTGTCCGCCCGAACACTCGTGAAGCCGGGGAGAGCCGTGTTATTATCCGGGATGAGCGAGTGCAACCAAGTCTCGGTAAAACACATGATGCTACACTCACGGTATTCCCACTGCGTCTTCGTCAGCACGCGGAGCTCGTCCATCTTATTCCCCAAAGACCTCACGTTACCCATTATGATGGCCGGTACACAGGGTTTGTACCTCATCTTCTTCTTCATCCTCAGCTTGGCCCCAGCTCTGCAGCCACGCTTGAGCCTCCGAAGCTCCTCCGGGATGTCATGCCTGGCTCCGGGCAGCAGCACGGGTCGGCACAGCGCAATCAGCTGCTCACGCGTGTAAACAATGCCATCACTCCTCTGAGCATGGCTCTCCGACACAAAAAGTGAAAAAAGTAGCAGAAGAATGACCAGAAAACGTTCGAAGTAAAACGTGGCCATAGTTCGCTGCAAAACAAAATAAATATCCAAAGAAAAAAGTACAACTAAGAGAATAAAAGTAAACAAAAAGACAAAGAACAATAAAACACCGGGAGCTGCATGCAACAGGCAGCCACCAGCACGGCGCCTTACCTTATCTTATCTTATCTTAAGTTAGCTTTGAGCGAGAGCACTCTGCTAACTGGGGGATGGAACAATTACCTAAAAGCTTGAGTTATGTATAAGCCTGAGGTATATATAACAATTAGCAGTGCTAGCGGCCGAACAAGTTAGTCTGGTCGAGAGCAACCTACTAACGTTTTTTTTTTTTGTATATATATTTTTTTTCTCTCAGCGATATGAAAAAAATAAATGGATGTGGCATCAGCCAATTACTGCTACTGTCCAGCCAAGTTAGCCTGAGTGAGAGCACTCTGCTAACTATTAAACAGTCACTGTATAGGGAAACAATATATACACAGTCTTAATTATCGGCAGAACTCTTAATAGTGTCCGACCACGCAGTAGAGTTTACAAAGAGGAGCGGGACACTGTCTTCACTGGCAGAGAACGTTGCCGATATCAGCAAACACCGAGCGCACACACTCTTGTTAGCATAGCACAAATTAGCTTGGGCGATAGCCCTCTGCTAACCGTGAATTAATAGTGGTTTGCAGGAAACCCTGTGAGCACTATCAGAATTAAATGGCAGTGATCTCACCGACTGAGGTCCGCCGGTCCGGGGCTCCTGAGGGTCTGAACGGCGAACACCGTGGTTCCCTCCCTTGGGAGGAACAGCTCGTCGCAGCCTTTGGAGGGCGAGTCGCGTTTAACCCGCAGCTCCGACCGACGAGATCACAACGCTACAGATAGCGATGAGCTTTTGAATAATACACCGGAACTTATGCTTTCCGGGGTCATGTGAGGTCACACATGACTTTGTTGACATAAATACTCGACATGAAGATATCCAGTGCTAAGCACTGCCTCTGGCGGTCAGTAAGGATGAAATAGAACTGTATAAATATTCTGCAGACCCATGACAGGTCAACTATTCTAATCTTAATTTAACTATTATGCATTTCAATATACTTTTTACCAGTACTGAAAGAAGTACTCGGTAAATATTGATACCAAAGTGTAGAAATGACCAGGAAGTAAAAGTACAAAAGTGTGTACCAGAACTAAAGGTCACACTGTAACTCTTCACTTCATAGAAAAGTACCTCTCAGTATATCCACATAACAGCAGGTATATAGTGGAATATTTGACAATAGTAGAATGAAATCTTCTGTTTCCATTAGTTTTGAAGTTGGTGCCAAATGTCGATTTTTTTTTGAAGATTAGAGACTTTAATGTGCAGCATGCAATGAAATTGATGGAATTGTAAAATGACTTGAAAGAGGTGGATAGAGATATTTGTGAGCATCAGAATACAGCAGATTTATGAAATGTTTAGAACTCTGACCTCAGGGTCTGGAAATTATCTGAAAAGACTCAAGGAGTACACAAATCGACAACTGGCCAATAATTAGTGCTGGATACATTAGCCGCGTTCACACCGGAGTACTTTTCACCGTACTTTTCGCGTTTAGTTCCGTTAGTACCCCTTATGTCGCGTTCACACCAAAAAGAGCACTTAATCTCGGGAACTTTTACCCCCATTTTTAGTGCCTGCTGAGAGATGGTACTTTCCTGGGGGAAAAAAAGTGCCCCAGTTCTGATTGGCTGGGCGAATTGCAAACCACGCCCCGTACAACTCTGAAATGTTTTGTAGAGCCGCCATTTTATTATCCTGGCATTAGCATTATTAGCATTAGCATTCGCCCAGTGCACAAACGCAGAGAGACTAACTTATGGCAACACAAAATAAAACATGGGAGCGGTGGAGATGAGGAGGTGTCGGCGTTCTGGCGATTTACTCGGAAGGCTTCAGAAGCTGCTGGGAGTCCCAGCAGCTTCTACTGAAGCCAGTCCCCAACTCCGGGGACTTCCGGCCGGGGACTCCGGGTGGCAGTATACACGGTGAAGTTGTTTGCGGCCTGCCAGTAAACCCAAAGCAGAAGAAGACGAAGTGACGTCAGCGTCTCATTTGCGTAATCTTCCCTCAGGGAAAAGTACTCCGGTGTGAACGCGATCTGTACTAAATGCCCTGGGGTAATAAGTGCCGGCGCACTGAGTGCCGGCACTAAATACGGCAAAGTACTTGGTGTGAACGCGCCTATTGTGCCATCTTGAGGGCCAGTATCCAATGGTCAGTATGAACTCTAACTTTCACCAACTCATAAACAAAGACACTATTCAGAATGATTTTATGTTGAATGACTGTATAACCACCACAGCCCCTGGTAGACCCCAACAAATAGAGACTCTTGCAATCCTGTGCAATAAACTTGCAATGTGCAATATAAACACTATCTTCCATTTGTATCTATGTCACTTAGTTTACTCAAATTGCTGCTACTCATTTTTGAGCTATGGTTGTGTACCTATTTGTCTTTATTTTTATTTGATTACTAATGTATGCTTTAGTTTTTGATTATTTCATGTCTCTTTTTTGATCTGCTATTCAACTTTTGCAGAACCTCTTTATCCTCTGAGGATGAAGTTGCTCTGTTCCAGCATTTTAGATCGATTTCAATTGTATCTGACTTTCTTTATTACTTTATTAAATATAAAAATAGACAAGCTTGTTTATTAATCATTTATCAGTTTCTCTTAAGGGAATTGAAATGCCCACCACAATGTAATCTGCATTTTTCTCGGCACACTCAAACTCTGAAAGGTCTTTATTAACCCAGAAGCATGTTCACTTAAAGCCATCTGCTCAATTCCAATCTTCATCTTTGGGTCAACATCTTTGACATTGTCTTTATCAACCATGCAATAATGATTTTATTTGACTTACTTGTGTTGGCAGATGTTACAGTTGGCCTGCTTATTCTTCCATTCCGAAGTTTTGTAAAAACCTCTAGAAAGTAAGACTCCCCTGGCTTCAGGTTGTTGAATGTCATCTTGTTTGTGTCAGTTGTCTCTTTCATAATGTCTCCCTCACTGCAACAAGTCACAATGTAACTCTCCACTTCACCAGCAGGGGGGTCCCAATGCAGAGACAGTGACTCGCTGCTGACCTGGTCGACTGTAATCTGCACAGGAGGGCTGGGCTCTATGGGAACATATAAAGGTTTCACTGAAACTGAAAATTCATATTCTGTCAATGTTTGTCTGCATTCTAAAGTGCAAGTAAAATAGGTGTAGTGACCCTTATTTGTCTGAAAGTAACTTTTAACAGACATTTCGTAGATTTGTTCAGGAAGTGATCCAAAAGATTCAGAAAACACTTGTTTTTCTGATTTACCTGTGAAGACAGATAGCGAGGTTGCTTTGCTTTTATTTCCATCGTCTGCAATCCTTGTGATGCTGAAGGTATACTCAGTGCCAGGTATCAGTCCATCAACCTTCACAGGGCTGGAGTCATCAACAGTCAAACTGCCGCTGTGTGTTTCACAGGAGTAATCTAACTGTAGTCTAAACCCAGCAGAGTTTTCAGTGGGTGGAAAGCCAAGAGAAACGGTCTCCTGGTCAGAATCAAGAACTGTTACTTCCCCTGGTGGAGGAACATCTGTCATAAGAGAAGAAAAGTACATCTCAGTACCTTCTCACAAGGCTGCGTATTCGTTACACAAGGCTGCGTATTCGTTACATTAGATCTGTTATTGACAGTCACACTTACGTTCGGACTCTGGTGCTGCTGAAGTTGCTCTGTTCCAGCATTTTAAATCGATTTCAATTGTATCTGACTTTCTTTATTACTTTATTAAATATAAAAATAGACAAGCTTGTTTATTAATCATTTATCAGTTTCTCTTAAGGGAATTGAAATGCCCACCACAATGTAATCTGCATTTTTCTCGGCAGTCTCAAACTCTGAAAAGTCTTTATCAACCCAGAAGCATGTTCACTTAAAGCCATCTGCTCAATTCCAATCTTCATCTTTGGGTCAACATATTTGACATTGTCTTTATCAACCATGCAATAATGATTTTATTTGACTTACTTGTGTTGGCAGATGTTACAGTTGGTTTGCTTATTCTTCCATTCCGAAGTTTTGTAGAAACCTCTAGAAAGTAACACTCCCCTGGCTTCAGGTTGTTGAATGTCATCTTGTTTGTGTCAGTTGTCTCTTTCATAATGTCTCCCTCACTGCAACAAGTCACAATGTAACTCTCCACTTCACCAGCAGGGGGGTCCCAATGCAGAGACAGTGACTCGCTGCTGACCTGGTCGACTGTAATCTGCACAGGAGGGCTGGGCTCTATGGGAACATATAAAGGTTTCACTGAAACTGAAAATTCATATTCTGTCAATGTTTGTCTGCATTCTAAAGTCCAAGTAAAATATGTGTAGTGACCCTTATTTGTCTGAAAGTAACTTTTAACAGACATTTCGTAGATTTGTTCAGGAAGTGATCCAAAAGATTCAGAAAACACTTGTTTTTCTGATTTACCTGTGAAGACAGATAGCGAGGTTGCTTTGCTTTGATTTCCATCGTCTGCAATCCTTGTGATGCTGAAGGTATACTCAGTGCCAGGTATCAGTCCATCAACCTTCACAGGGCTGGAGTCATCAACAGTCAAACTGCCGCTGTGTGTTTCACAGAAGTAATCTAACTGTAGTCTAAACCCAGCAGAGTTTTCAGTGGGTGGAAAGCCAAGAGAAACTGTCTCCTGGTCAGAATCAAGAACTATTACTTCCCCTGGTGGAGGAACATCTGTCATAAGAGAAGAAAAGTACATCTCAGTACCTTCTCATAACGCTGCGTTACACCTAGTGTCAGCAGAAAGTAATTCAAATAAGAATTTAAAAAAAATGCAAAATAAAGACATCTTAAAATATATTTTAAGATCATGTTTAATCATCTGATTCGTCTGTACATTGCTGTTTTAGTCTGTGTTCTTCTAATTAGTGTCTACAGTGTGCCTATTGAGCCGTTTTGAGTGACGTGGGTCAAGCCACAATCTAGCCCCTCTCTCTCACTGTCTAAGTCAGGGCTCTCCAACACGTCGATCGCGAGCTACCGGTAGCTCGCGGGCAGCTTTTCAGTAGCTCGCCGCTCGATTATTGATTATAGCGTAGTAAGGTTGCTTATTGATTTTTCGGCCGCGGCTGGACAATAACGTTTTTTTATTTTAGAATTTTTTCTGTCACACGAATATCAAATGGTCGGTGACGCAGAGATCAAGGAACAGACGTGACAGCAGCACAGCGACAACACACACGGAGCAGTCTGCTTTCTCCACCAGCACCAGTCCAGAACTAACAGCAGAATGACCCGCTCTGAATCAGGCCCTGTCGCTGCGCGTCAGAGACACACAGGGAGGGATTTGTGTTTTTTGAAAAACACTCGTTATCGTCATGTCAGGTTTTTGGTGGATTTAATCAAGTCTTGGATTGCAGAGTATGAATGTCCTCTTGCTATTTTCAGTTGATAAATACTTGTGTAAAGTTTGTGAAGGCAGGAGGAAAGCTTCCGCGATCACCGTCTCCTCTCCGTTCCTCCAAACCCCGCCCCCTCCCTGAAAATAATGAGTGACAGGCTGATAGTGACCCGATAGAAACTTTATTATTCACTTAATCACTGATTGAGATATGATGAAGCTAACTTAATCTCATACATTCATGGGATTTATGTAACAGTAAGACAGAGAATGTAAGTGTGCACCCACATGCACTATTTTTGTTTTTATAATGCTATTGTAAATACTCCTGCTGTTTTCAGACTCAAGTCCTGTGTGTGATGCATTCAAGACATTCAGTGTCTTTTTTTTTAACAGAAGACTGTAGCTAGAAGCTGCAGCTAGACTGCAGAAGTATTAGTTTTTTGTTTTTGAGGATGGAACCATTTTCACACACAGATATAGGGAGGCTAGACCTATACAATTAATTTATTATGGTTTATAATTTAATGTCAAGACGAAGAAGAAGAAGAAAAAGATGGCTGAACAACTGTTCAGTGTCAATCCTGTGGAGATCTCCAAAATAATGTTCAGCTTAAGTCTCAGCAAAACTCACAACATTTCTGGAGCCTTGTAGACCCCGAAAACTATAGAACATTCACCAAGCAGCACTGAAAATGTCTGCTTTATTTGGTTCTGTTCTACATACCTTTGTGAAGCAGCTTTTTCTGACATGAATGAAATCTAAATACAGAACAAGACCAACTGATGAACATTTAAATGACTCTATTCTATGACTCCAGCATACACCTCTATGGTGGACTGCATGCAGTGCCATTCATCTCACTAACAAAAGAGTGAAATGCTTGTAAGGTGGTGATTAAGGACACTTATGTGAATGTTCAGTGATGTACTTATTATGTGGGCCATAATAATATGTGAGAAATCTTCGTTTTCTTGGACCTTATTTTTGATAAGCTTTAGGTATTGCAATTTCACACGTGTACAAAAGTATAGCTTAATTCAACTGATGAGGGCTATGTGAATAAATGTAAGCGATGTGATGCAAGTAGCTCTTGGCCACTTTCATTTTTTGAAAGTAGCTCTCAGATGAAGAAAGGTTGGAGACCCCTGCACTAGAGAGACTCCAGAGGCATGTGC